CAATATTATAACAAATTAGTACAAAATAACGGCTGCTAATAACTTAATTTACACATCATTACATTTTTATAGTGGCGAGAACTTTTGATATTTATGAGCTCTTCATTGTTTTGCAATACATTCACATTTCATAAGGTTTTTTTTGAAAAACGAATATCAAACTACAGTTATTAAAGAAAATACTCAATTTAATCAACTACTTATGTTTATTACAATAAAACAAACAACATTATACTAACTAATTGTAGTGCTATGTATTAAAATACAAATTAACAGCCACACGTACGCACACACAGATTGCTACATATACAGTTTAGGAAAAACACTTATTACAAACACATAAAACGTTCAATCACAAAAAAATCAATTACAGATCAAACACACTGAAGAATTAATTACTTAATAATAGTTGTTGACAGATTTTACAATTCATTAAATCCCAAAAAAATATTCATTCATTCATTCATTATTCATTTACTTTTAATAATTACTATTAATTATAATTACAATTACATATAATAGAAAGATACACACAATAAAAATTAGTAGTTACAATTGTGAATTTATTAATAACGACTTACTTTGGGAATTAACTGTAGAAAGCTTTCCTAATATTTAGTCACATCAGGAAACTTACCCGACGGTCACCCTAATATAAAAAGCAGGGTGGCCGTCGGGGAGACGCGCGCAGCCTAAACAGCAGTAGTTTTTATATTTAATAAACTTGAGTAAGTCATTATTTTAGATAACAGAAATAAAATGAAAATTCTACCTAAGAGATCGGCCACATCGGACACAGTTACATGTTTGTTTCCTGTCTACCTGTTGACTACCACGATAGCGTATGTCCGCATGCATAGTGCTTGTGATGGCTCATTTATATATAAGGAAATGTCTGTCTCATTTATCACAAGTGCTGAAATAATTCACGATAAAAGTAAAATGTGTTTATAATATAGCTTTCTAAGGTAAGGTTGATTGTTATCATTCGAATTAGTAATAAGTTTTCGTTAGTCGGATATACAGTCTCGCAATAGTCAAAAGGTTTCCTAAAAAATATGTTAAATTAATGTTTGAGAGGATTATTATATTTTATTATTTAAAACATATTTTGTTCTATACACTTAAAAGTATTTCTTGTTGAAGTATAAAACATATAAAATATCAATTACTGTACTTTGAAATATTCTAAAGTCAAATTAAAATATACTTATAATCATGAGGTCAGTCCTATCTTATATTATTTCATTTTCCCTCGAAACATTTGCTAGTTATGTTTACCAATGAAATAACTATAATTTTAATGTGGGTCATTTAGTAAAAACTATCTCGCACACTTTTAATTGTATTCGAAGTTGACAAATATTAAGTCCTAACCGATAAGAGCGAGATGGTCAAGTCATAGAATAAAATATACAGTACTTATATGGTACATTGATTCGATTATTCGATTTATTCATCGAACAAAACATTGAATGCTATCTCTGCTTTACAGAGGGTTCCGTCCATCGGCAAGTTCAGTTTTCCGCCCTAAAGACAATGCCAGCTTTAAAGTAAGAAATCGATAAACGTTAATAATTATTAGTTAATTACTTACATGTATCAACAAAACTTCTTTATTGTGAGGTAACAATATAATAAAAAATATTTGAGCTATACATAATAGCACTCTTGTAAATATCCTCAATAGCTCAAGGTCACGTGGCGTGGACGGTTTATCAGTAACTCGTATTTCGCACTTTTGTTAGTAAATCGAGTTGATGTTCATTTTCATTTACTTACTAGACGTTAACAACAGCCCCGTCCGAATATCATTTCATTCCAGAGAAAACGAGTTGAGATCGAAATCAAACTTATTAATCGAATCTCAAGGACTAGGTTTTCAAAATCGAAGACTAAACTAAACGGATTGTTGCGTTTGTTTCTTGAGTATTTTAGTAAATTGTATTAGATTTCAAACTCCCAGTCCTTCCTATTGTCCATTAAGTAACAGCAAGTAAAATATTTAGTTTATTAACCTATAGATAGAATGTGTCATAAAAATTGGAAACATTCGTACTGTTAATATTATGTTACAACAATAATTAGACAATATATTGTATCTATGACCTCTTAGTATTTCAATTTCACCGAGCTACGCGATAATCGTACCCTCTGAAACAATACCTTTATCATATAAACATATGCATGAGTGTGTAATCTCCGAAGTCTGTCAGATGTCAGTTTTTGTAACCTGTCAACAACAAAGTTCTAGACTTTTACTACTATATTTTGCCTCCCTACGCCTTTTCAGCTCTAGCATATTATACCCTGAACCTACCCCTTTATTTCTAAGAACATTTTCCTTGCAGTTACAGATACGACCTAAATGTTTCTGTTCTTATTATTTGGGAAACAATTTAACAAATCGTTTATATAATAGATGTTGTAAAACTTTGAATTACATTCCGTTTGATTACTTTTCATGTTTAAGACTTTTTATCGAATAAATGGCAACCAAGCTGAATCTCAATGAATAGAACAAGACTTGCTAGACACGTAACTAAAGTAATATTGAATATTAAAAGAAAACGTGAATTAACTGAGAAAAGCACAACCAGTTTCAAGTCAAAATGAGACTCATTAATAAGACAAGCTCGAGTGATCACGCGGCTGGGCCGGCAAACGCTTGGAAACAGAGCCTAAAATCTACGTCAATCCCCAAGTATTCCCAACTTAGAGTGTGACACAATAAGCGTGGCATGTAACACTGATTCGACTCAGGAATTGAACCTAACCCCATTGCCGCTGAACGAGCCGGTCAACATCGTCACCAACGCTACCGCACCGTTGCAGTTGGAAGCAAGCGCACGCCTTTGACGGTAGCAGGCGCAATTCCAGCTGCGTGAAAAAGAGCCCCGTCGTGACTTTAAACTGGAAGAGCGTTTCTCAGTCGTTATTTTCATTAGTATGTTTCAAGATTATTACTAAGTAGAGATTTAATAAAAACATGAATATCAAACTTTGTTGTGATTTTGACAGATTACAAAAATCTAGATGTTACAGTTACAGTTTATTCAGCGTTAATGTCCTAATTCGTCATCTCTTTTTGAAAAAGCTATTGTTAAATAGGTTTTTTTTAAGATGTTTGTTTACCGTCAGACATGTTTTGTTACAAATTACTAAGAAAATATATATATATTATTACAAAATAAGTATTCTTGTATTAGAGATAAGTATGTATCTTATAATCTAATATGGCTTATTTATTGCTTCTTGATATTGCCACTGAATACTAGATAAAATAAAAAAAGAAGCTTTGACATTTTGAAATATGGGGAGTATTTGTGTTCTTATTAAGTTTTCCATTAAGAACTTCTTGTACCAATCAATATCAACATATCAGATGTTTGGTCTGGTTAATTGATGAATAACTAGAGCCCGTATCCGACTTCAGTTTAAAACAAATTTTATTAAGGGTAGTTTGCAACATATTTATGTATAGATAGTTTATTGCAACAGTGAATTATTGTTTTATCAAATTTATTGAATTTTTTTATTTATTTATCACGTGTTCAAGATTATAGAAATATCCGGACAATGGCGTTTGAACATGAAACAGCCAGCTCGATGCGCGTTAATAGCGCATTCGCCGAATGTGACATTATTTTCTGCAGCAGTAATGAAAAACCGCTCTTAGATAAAATAATAGAAAATTAGCGTTTGTAATTGATGTTGAATTTTTTAAATGTGTTTTATGTTACTCTGTGTAGTAATAGGTAGGTAAAAGGTAATAGTTTAAGACAACAGAGATTATTTTATTCATGAAATATATAAATTGTAGAAATACAACTTGACTACAAGGCTGTCTACAAAAATCTGACCGATGTAAAGGCGTTTAATGTTTTATTGTTTCAATACCCAAATATTATAAACTACATACTAAACAAAGTGGAGAATTGACTGTTAAAGATGCAAATAAATATAAATAGCCAAAAAATATAGTATAAATGTATTTTTATGACGTGTGACACCTATCTTATGGTACCAATTGAAATTATGTATGTAATGTTTCTATTATAATTTTAAAGAAGACCGGACATTACATTGTTGTCACTGTTATTTGAATTTACACCACCTGGTTTACTGACAAACAGACTGACGGACTATTTTTCTATTTGACGTTTCGAATATATTACATTATGGTAAGTAGGAAGAAATGTTTTTTACTTTGACAATAGTTGCGAGATGTGTGTATTAATAACTGGGTGTTGGTTATTCAGAAAACAGTACTAGGTTTCTGTGGGACAGTTTTCGGATTGTCAAAATCTAAATTAGTGCATAGTGACGAAGCCGGAGTACTGGGCTCCTATTTCTGTCCTATCTGTCTACCATGTCGGATTGTCATATCGTCTACTGAAACTAGTTTAGCCTAGGCCAAACCAGTTTATTCTGAATCAGATTTGGTAAGGTGTGCTTTAACTGTAAAAAATTGTTTTTGTCATATAAAAATTATTAGTCATATTACTCTCATACTGCTCTAAAATATAACAAAACATTTAAAACGGTAGGATTTTAATAGACAACTCGAGTCAGTCCCAAATAATGTTACAAAAACCCATCTAGAATCCTGCATAGTCATAAATAATAAAATAATCTCTTTGGGCTACTATATCATATGATTATCTATTGTACAATAGCGCCGACGTATCTTGGCGAGTCTGAAGTTAGCCGAGTAGCTGCGCAGTACACAATTTTGTTCCTAAAATATCCATTGCGCAGACAAACAGCTAACTTCAGACTCGCCAAGATACGTCGGCCGTACTGTAATCGTGCTGCATTTCAGTTAATAACTTCATCGTGACAATAAAATCATATTTTTCTACATTTGTAACAAAACATATGATTAGTTCAAAAGTTTTTAGCATTTGTCAGCTTTGTATACATTTCTTCTTAATTATTCTAAGTTTATACCTACTTACTATATCTACATTCAGTTCGGTTACCAACCCCTATCTATATCACGAGGCATCTGGTGGTACCACTGACTCGGCGTTCAACAGCATTTTGGCCAGGAACGTCATGAAGTTGGGGGTAGCCATCAATCCCTGAAATAGGAAACAAAAGTTTAGTTATGTTTTAATTCCCTTTGGTTTGCTTAACATAGGTACATGTGTGTCTATATTTACAAAAAAATACTAACAGGAAGTTTTGAAATGGTATACCGTATAATAGTAAAACGCCACTGAACCCCAGCAGTTAAGATATAAATATAACATTGACATGCTAGACATGTTTTAATAATATGATACTTACGTTCTCTTTTTCTGGCATGATATTTAGACCATTACTCCCTGGCATTTTCTAAAATAAAAGAAAACATTAATTAGCGCATACAAATTATGCACAGTGCAACTGGTTAGATTGGTTATTACAATAATAATCGAATAAATAGATTTAATTTGTTCGACAGGCCACTGTGTGTGTATTTCAGCTTCTCGGACGTCTTCTATGGTATGTGATAGGAAACGAACAAACAACAATAATAATATTGTACACCTTAGAGAATTTTGTGACATGAGTATATTGAGAGAGGTACAAAAATAGTATAGTACAGCTCAGGAAGAATCTTATGCGGTGACATTTGGAACTACGAAATGTTTGCTGTGGCAACACTATTAAAACTTCCGCTACCGGTAATTTCTGTGTCAAAAAAATAATTCCGTCGTGTTATTTCACTGCTTGTTACAAAATTTATCAACGATTAATGTTTACTTGTATATTCATATTGATTAAAACTATTCGTTCGTAGAGCAGTGATATTATATTAAGTCTACTCGAGATATGTAGTCGAATCTGAAGTGGCAACAATTTGGCCTCCGATTGACATTGCTTATCAGAAATATGCTAATTAAGTTATTATATTTATATACTAATTCCTTATTTCATCAGTAACATGAGTTTATTGAGTCTATACATAGTCTGGCCATAAATACTGTTACAATTAAAAATAAACAAAATATTACATTTGAATTTGGAATCTGTCATTTTTATATAATTTTTCACTGTGTTTTCTTATTTTGGCGCCGATAAATTGTTCAATATTTTGCGATATTAAAATGGAGTGGGGTGATAAAGAGAACCGAATCGCTGTGATTGCATTACATAAAGTAGGTATGGAGCCAAATGCAATTTTTAAAACTCTCCACACGCTTGGCATTAGTCAAATGTTTGTGTACCGTGCTATTAATAGGTACAATGAGACCTCCTCTGTTTGTGACAGAAAAAGATCGGGCCGTCCACGTAGTGTTCGTACGAAAAAGGTGGTCAAAGCAGTAAGGGAAAGAATTCGAAGAAATCCTGTCTGAAAGCAAAAGATTTTATCTCGGAAGATGAAGATAGCACCTAGAACCATGTCGCGTATTTTAAAAGACGACTTAGGACTTGCAGCCTATAAGAGACGCACTGGACATTTTTTAAATGATAATTTAAAAAAGAATAGGGTGATAAAATCTAAGCAACTACTGAAGCGGTACGCAAAGGGAGGTTTGATTTCGGATGAGAAAATTTTTACAATTGAGCAACATTTTAACAAACAAAATGACCGTCTTTATGCTCAAAGCTCTAATCTTTTTTTAAATATATAAATTAAATGGAAGCTCTAGGTTTTGAGAAGTCTGTCCACATATATTTAAATTAATCTGGTTAGATTTATAAAATAATAAAATAATTTCTGGACGTGACCTTTCACAGAAATCGGTTCAGTAGTTTAGGCGTGAAAAAAAGACAGACAGACAGAGTTACTTTCGCATTTATAATAAAAGTTTGGATTTTAAATGTCAACAGTAAAAAGAATACAAGACTAGTATAGTAAACCCACAGTATTTGGGATATGACTGTAGAGCTGCCTAAATTTTGCCACATTTTTTAACCAAGCTGTACCATATATATACTACTTTTGTACCCAAAAAACCTTCGATAACTATTCCCCAAAAATCCGAATTTGTCCTATTTGTAGTATTTTTCCAGTTCAGAATACATAACAATTTAGAAAACAATAATAAGGCAGCATTCGATAAAATTTATCAAATCTTACACTTTTATTTAATAAATAAAAAAAAATTAAATTATTTCTCAAATAACTGTAATATGTGCATGAAAAATATTTTTGTAAATACTTTTACTATTGAATAGTTTATTCATCAGTTATAAGCCAAGGCTATTAATTAATACAGTTGTTTTCAATTCTCCACTTTGTTTTTTTACTTCATCAAGTAATAATGTTGCACTCCACAACTTGTAAATAGACATAAATTAATAACTAACACAACGTACTACGGCGTAGCAGTACGTAGCTCATCTCGTAGCTAATTTGGGTCGAATATCGAAACTTATGTTATTTTGAACCAAATTATATTTTGTATGCCAGTGTGAACCAATTAGACAAGAGTTTTCAACTTAAGTAATCAAAGTTCATCAGTCGAATAAGAAATCCAAGTTACTAACATGTACTTAGGGACTCGCAACGAATCTTTCTATAAATTTCAAAAACGACTTAAGTATTTGGTGTTTGAGAAATTGAATTTATTTGGTTAATAGCAAGAGGAAGGGAGGCAGGGGGACATCTAATACATAGAGCCCTATTCTCTACTCTCAGTTCCGGTAGTGAGCAATGTCGTCATCCGTATTAAGATTGATAAAAGATCATTAAAATTGCGAAACTAGAGTAAAAGCTTACTTTTATCGTATGACCGCCTGTATATCTTCAACGCGTCTGTTTTTGTATGGTTCACGAGACAGAGATGTACGAAGTATATAATTATCATTAATAATAACAAACTGAAAGTAACAATTAGATGAATAAATAAACATTTTTCTCCTCTAGTAAATTTAGTTTTACTATTTTCAGGTGGCATTTTACTGGAAAGTCAAAATCGTGGGCCCCTAGATATTAATCGAGACATGCTTAGCCAACTTTCAATATTTTTTTTAATATAATTTATTTAATGTTGGTACTACATTATAGGCTTCTTTATAAAAGAGAGCCGACGAACGACTTGAATTCTCTTATTTTGATTAATGTGGGAAGTTCAACAATACATCTAGTATTGGATAAAACTTTTTTATTATTCACATTGCTCGCAAAGGATTTCCATAACGGCAGTCACATAGTACCTAGGTATCTTGTAATTTGAGAGTCTAAAAGCTTCAAAATAGAAAAAAGCTATCTAAACATACATACGTACCTAATAACTTGTATGCTGAATAATATATTAAATATATTTAAATTTATTAGCATTTGCAGTAAAAGATTTTTTTCTTTGTCATCAGGGTTTATCATACCACATTCGATAAAGTTTATTAAAAAAACTATAAATATATTTATATAAAATAACTATTTATATAAACTATATACATATACCTTAAAATGAGGTGAATAGATGTTAGTGAATTTCCCTAGTATCTATTTACCCCTCTATTGTGTCTATTCACCCCTCGAATTATATTGACCCAGTTTTACAGTACTGAATAAGTATAAGGACAAAGTTTCTTCGTTTATTAATTTCCTTTACGTTATCACAAACTTTTTGTACTCACTGATAAAAGTTTAAGAAAAACACTTAATTCTTATAGGTAATCATTTAATCACAAACTGACAAATACATTTTCGGTTACATATGTAGATTAGCATCAACACCTAAGTACTACTAATGGGAACCATAGTAGTTGGCAGATATAAATCGCAAAAATGTAAGGAACTTATTTTTAACTAGTTACTTTTAATGACGGAAATAAATAAACTCAAAATAAAAGAACAATACAAGTTTAGTGAAATACTGCCTTAATTAGTAACTGTATATTCAAGTTCAGAGGGCCTACCATGACGTGTTGAAGCGTAAATCTTCCAGACGAGAAAGAGGGATGGAGCTATACACCTTTTACAGCTTAGCTTCCTCCCTCTTTCTCGGCCGGAAAGACTGAGAAGACACGCGTCATGGTAGGCCTACAGTTTTAATTACAGCATTATTTTTGTCAATATTTATGTTAATTTGCAATGCACAGTCAATAATCAATATTAATTAAATTTTTAATGTATAAAATATTTTACAATGCTTAGTAATATTCTAGAGTAAATACAAATACTTATATTAAGTCAGCCCCATCTTATAGTATTTGAATTTTTCCAATAATAAAATGAGTCTATTTTTTATGTAGATGAACCAGCACGGGATTGGTGTGAATAATGTTTAAGAATCTATATCATTTAGTTCCACGTAATAAGAGTGGAAATCGAAACCCGTTTCTTAGGATAATTCGACTTATCGAATCTTTAGGACTGGATTTTCAAAATCTAGGACTTATTTAGATATATCTAAATGAGTCTTAGATTCTAAGAATAATTTTAAAAAGTGTTTTGTGTCCGTTACAGACAATAAAAAAAGAATGCAGGAATGGCTTCAGCTGTTTTTTAAGATTTGAGCTTTAGCATTACGGATAATTATTGAAGAATGATATCGTAAAATTTTAGATTGTCCTGATGATCCTTAAGACATGTATAAATTTTGTTACGTGTGTTATATTTACTTCAGCCTTTGAGGAGCACTGCACTTTGAATTGTATCTTTACAGAGAAGTATGGCTTTTTCAAATTATATTTTTTAATGAATTCCTGCATTGTAGAGATCAAGAGGCTTGTAGGCTATGCACGTAGGTGTCGCGTATGTAGAACGTAATAGTTAACAATAATAATTAACAATAACGACTTACTCATCAGAACTAAGACAAGCTCTACCAGTTTCAGGTCACAACGAGACTTACTTGCTGTGACCTGAAACTGCCTGCCTGTAGCCTACAAACCCCTTGATCACTACATTACATTTCATGAACAGCTTGCACGTCGCGACGATGTCATGGAGCCGATTGGTGACTCGAACCTGTACTTGTACGCCCACCGCGTCCTATGCTGGCAAACGCGCGCGCTTGTTCCAACTGTGACGGGTGCGGCGGTGTTAGGAGCGACGTTAAAGGCTCGTCTCGTTAAGCGACGTTGGTGTTCACAAAATCAGTGGTACATGCCACGGTTACAGAGTCACACTTCAAGTTTGAAAACGCTCGAGAACGACATAAGATTTCAGGCCTAGTTTGTAAGTGGGTGACATTGTCTAGACACGGTCTCTATTAAAGCACGGACGGCTTATCTCGATGGCATCCTGTACTTTCTGCGACATAAAGTATTCCTACCTTGCTAGTACGGAGACCTAATCGAAACGTATGGAAGGAACCGCGTCTGTACAACAAACGTGCTTGGCCACCGACTATGCATGGTTCATTATAATTCATTTCCTTCACGCTATGCATATGTTCCTCTAACCTGGTTGCGATATTGCGGTGAGTTTCTCCGATGTACTGTACTGCGGGTACAGCGAATGGATCTGTGCATTAAAGGCACAGGTTAAATCAGGGAAACTCGCCGTAATATTACAACCAGGGTAAAGGAACGTGTACCTACGTAACGTGGCGAAGATAACAAGACATCGGCAATGGTTGAGCACGTTTTGGTTAGGACGCGGTCCAATTCACGCATTTCGAAAGTTTCCATACAAGCAAGGCAGAAATACATCATCCCGCGGGAACGGCGGAAGGCCATCAAGATAAAACGCCGTCTGTGTTTTAACAGAAACGGTGTATAGGCAGAGTACCACCCGGTTATAGCCGGGCTTGAAATGTACGTCGATCTACAGCGCTACAACTTGGACTGAGACAAGGGAAGCGTGGCATGTAATACTAATTTTGAGACACCAAAACCGACGCCGCTAAACGCGCCGGGCGTCTATTGTCGCTTACAGGAGCGGCGTCCTGTCGCAGTTGGAAGCAAGCTCTCGATTGTCGGTAAAGAGCGCGATGGGCGCACAAGAGAGTAATCAGTCGGCTGCGTAATGTCGCGACGCGCACGCTGCTCACGAACAGAATTGCCGTTGTGACTTCAAACTATACGAGTTTCTCTCAGTTAATACACGAGATTAAGTCCTTAAACTTATTTTTTTGACAGATTACAAAAAACCTAGAAGTGATATCTTATATTATCTATATCACGAGGCATCTGCTGTTACCAGTGTTGACACAGCATTTTCGGCAGAAACGTCATGAAGTTGGATAGCCAGCAAACCCTGAAATTCGAAATAGGAACATCAAGTTGGTGTTATACATTCAATTGAAATTTGTTCTTGATTTTAAGATTATATTTTGTAATCTACCTTTTTACAATAAAAGTAAATAATTAAAATTAATAATTTATGCCAATTAGGTTAAATTAATGTTTAATGTTTAACTTAATTGGTGTTTAATTTTAAATTAATGTTTAATAAAACATTAATGTTTAAAATTAATGTTTAATAAAACATTAATTAATTGTTTTTTTTCATTAGGTTTTAATTCCGTTAAATCGTTTTCGTTTTGTAAAACTACATGTGTATGAACATATTGATGTGACATTTTTAGGGTGGAAAATCCGTAAATTCCTTCTGTCGAGATACAGAGAGATGATAGGGCGAGAAGGAGCATCAAATTTTACTCAGTACAAAATAACACCATGCCGTCATCGAACCCGCGACACGTTGCTCAGCAGCCAGTTGCCCAGCCACTGCGCCAACCGTGCAGTCAAAAAGTTTATCTACGCTACGTTACGCTGCTGCCCAGAGACAGCGGTAGTTGATTTTTCTTGGCATATATAGGTAGAAGAACCTATTACATTTCTGGACACATCTATTGACTTACCTTAGAGTTTAGGTTTCGATGGTCCTTACTGAAATATGATTGCTAGATTGAAAAAAACTAATCATGCTGTTTTAAAAAATGATACGATTTACCATCTTTTTCGATTGTATTGTTTTAAATTTGAATTCAGAATACCATACGACATGGAGCTACGCCTAACAAGTCGGATATGCGCCTCGTTAAAGGCAATTGATTTTTGAATAAAAATCATGTTTTATCAAATAAAGGTTTAATTTAATAACGCGTGTTGGCATAGAATTTATCAACCGCTATATGTAATTTTGCGGGATCATCTCACATTCCTCTTCTATGGCAGTTTTCAACTCCTGCATCGTCTGGGCAACTGACTCAAGAGCCCTGACACGTCTTTTTAGCTCGCCCCGCATGTGATTGTTTGATATCAACACAAGCTCCAAATTGTCTTTTTTTTTCTTTAAGTTCTTTGTTCTGAATTAAAGCAAAAAGACTATTGAATGTAATTGCGAATGGGCCAGGTTCAAAACTGCATAAAACTTTTTGTTTGACCTAATATAAAATTTTAGCAAGGACCAAACGATACTGAAAATACAAGGTGGACCATTAGATGTGTCCAGAAGTGTATAATGCTTTTATTAAAATTGTATACTAACCGGTTTGAAAAGTGCCGCAACAACTGAAGAGATTATTGCATTCTTCGTGCACAATATTATTTTATTTAGTTCTTCAACGTTTTGCCTGTGGCTTTCAACGTTTTTCTTGGGTAACTCCTCCCGGAGATAGAGCCTCCCTGATGAAAAAGCATCATATCATGAACATCTTAAATATTAATATAAAAAAGCTTTTGATATTAATTTCAAGATATATATATAAACCACCAAACCAAAATACTATCTAGCCATTTGTTCAAAACCAGGGTGAAGTCAATCTCATAATAAACAAATTGATAAGTTTCGCGCATTCAATGAAATTTAACGTTCTGGCACAAAAGGAAGCATAAGAGCAGATTGAGTACAGCTACGCATGCTTTGTAATTATATAGCAATGGTAAGACATTAAGATACTTAGTCATACTTGACTTCGTGTTCTGATACCTGAGTATTATACCTGATTTCTGTACTTTCGCACATTTCGCACTTCTTTGCGCGAGACTGACCAGTGCTGAGCAGTGGAACCTCCGTAGAGCTGCTGACTGGAGACAAAATAAACAAATAATTATATACAATTGAAACAAAGTTTAGACACGATTTAATTCCTCATGGTTTGCTTTATACATGTCTATATCCATATTTACAAAAAAAATACTAACAGAAAGTTTTGAAATGATATACTGTATAATAGTAAACCGAAACTGAACCCCAGAAGTTAAGGCGTATAGTACCCTCAATAACCTTGAGCATACTAGAGCACGACTGGTGAGGGCTGCGTTCGCCCGATTTTTTATTATATATGGAAATCCCAATAATATAACATGTTCTTTGCAAAATATTGACCGATTTACATAAGTGCTGCTCATTTTGTAGTAAAATGTAACACCGATTGATCTATTAAAAAACACCAAGCCATTTAGAAGGAATAGGCATTCATGAACAAAATAGCGTGTTGGTAAATATTTTTTTACAGCTTAACTTTTCGTCATAAGAAAATCAAATTTACTAGATTATTAAATTGGTTATTAATATTATTTTCTATTGAACTAAATGAAAACATGCATTAATTTCTACAATGAAAATTTATTTTTTGCATATTATTTTCCTTTTTGAAGTCGGAATATTTTTGTTAAAAATTATTTATTTCACCATTTTAAGTAATAGGCAGAGCAAGCAAGTATAATGGTTTTCTAATGAAAAGACGACGGCTACTTGAGACCGAAAATCACGGAAATAGAAGTACTGAATTGGTCAGTATCCAGTGCTGTAAATCGTGAGGAATTCCCTCGACTGTCAATGGTCTCCATCATCATGTACACTGCAGACCTTCAATATACTTACATAATCCATATAGGTGCAAAGTTCTCATCAATTTAAATGAATTATGTCCAAGCACAACGTTTATTACTCCAAATGGTCAAAAAGATCCACGACAGTCTTCCTGCTCCATCATCAGATTTACTCCATAACTTCATTGTAACCCATATTGGTGTGTGAGTTTTCATCGATATAAATGAATTAAGTCCAAACACGAAGTAGTTACTGTGAACCGTTCAGGAGTTCCCTGAGCTGTCCTTCGTCCTCATCATCAGACCCCTAATGACAGTGACGACCAATCTTGGTGCAAAATGCTCACCAATACGAATCATTCAGGCCCAAATACAAGGAAACTACTCCAAATAGTGCGGGAGATCCCTCGACGGTCTTAAGGCTCCATCATCAGGTCGAGTTCGACCATCGGCAAGTTGTAGCGTTGTAAACAGCCTATTAAAACAACATGCAAAATCACTACTCGCCCCCACAATTTTCGAAACTACCCCTCGGTTTCCCTAAAATTCCATAATCTGATCCTGACGTCATGAAAATGGGACCCTCTCGGGAGTATAACCTTCATCCAATCAAACAAAACAAGAATTTTGGAAATCGGTTCATAAATGGCGGAGTAATCGGTGAACATACAAAAAAAACCAATAGCCCGAACATAGTACCTCCTCCTTTTTTAGAAGTCGGTAAAAAGTATAAAACAAGATTTTCAGAATACTGAAAAACGTTGTCAAAGTGCTACGGTAGATAGTTATATGCACTTTATATTCGCGGTATTTATTATTACAGACTAGCGACCCGCCCCAGGTTCGCACGGGTCCAACTATCTCGCTATCAAAGGGCCACTTTTTCCTTATCTTCCCCTCTAGTTTTCTCATATTATTTTCTTTCATAAGAACCTTCTCCTGACAATAACAAACACAACAAAAAAAGAATTAGCAAAATTGGTCCAGGCGTTTTTGAGTTATGCGCTTACCAACACATTTTGCGATCCATTTTTATATATAAGAAGACAAGAATGCATAGCAATTTAGAAAAAAAATAAGGCAGCATTCGACAAAATTAATCAAATCTTACTTTTGTTACCATATCGTAGAACACCCAGATAAAACGCTTTTGTAAAATTTGAATACTAACCGGCTTGAAGAGTGCGGCAACAACTGATGATATTCTTGCATTCTTTGTGCACAAAAGCCTATTTTTTTTTATTTAGTTCTTCAACCTTTTGCTTGTGACTTTCAACCTTTCTCTTCAACAACTCCTCCCTGAGAAACACAAGAGCGTCAGAACTATAATCTCTTATCAAGGCTACATGAACATGTTACAAATTAATATAACACGATACACGGTATAATTAAGGAAAGGTAGCAGAAAACACAAGGTAGCTACTGTTATCCGTTGAAGAGTTTTCTTAGCTATTGTGATGAATTATTCTTCATCACCAGACCCCTCATAACATTAACTAATCATCTAGGTGTTAACTTCTCGGTGATGCAAGTTAATCAAGCTAAAACTCCGCTGTAAGCCCTCAAGTCCTTTCGTCTATATTTCGGCTCGATCATCACGTCAAATTCAGACCTTCGTAAAATTGTAGTGCTTTAAAATATCTAAGTACTTAGTTACTAAACGAGTAAAAGGACTAGGCATGGTACATTATTGTGTACTTGCCCGTACGGCTATCCCGGCTGAACATTAACCATGTTGAACCAATTCTTCCGCAGTGTAGTCACAGTACAACTATATTGTGGGGTATTGGTATCTGTGAAGCACTAGCGAGACGCTATGAGCCGTACGATCGGGTCTACGAGCGAGGTACTCTTGCGCACTGTCCGCAGACCCGAAAAATTAACTTATGCATAAACATACATATATCATGTACTAAAATTGTGATAACAATTCTAACTAACCTATGTAACCGGTTTGTAAATTGCCGCAACAACTGAAGATATTCTTGCATTCTTCGTGATTTTTTATTTAGTTCTTCAACCTTTTGCTTGTGACTTTCAACCTTTCTCTTCAACAACTCCCTGAGAAACACAAGAGCGTTAGGACGATAATCTCTTATCAAAGCCTACATGAACATGTTAAAATTTGTTATAAAATAGCTTGTGCTAGTAATTACAAGATAAACATAATAAAACAAATTGCTGATATACCTAGTCTAGCCATTTAAATTTGAAAATTTTATTTTTTATTTGTTACTGTAACAAATAAAAAGAAATATTCAATTCAAATACCATTTATTACTTTTACATTATGTAAGTTTAATACATAAACATAAAACAATTTAAAGCTTAAAAAGCTTATTCGAAGTGGTCTCCATTGGCTGCAATACAGTCCTTTAAACGTTGAGGCCAGTTATCAATAGAAGCACGCACTCTTTCCATGGGAAAATTCTTCACTGCCAATCGTATGGATTGTTTTAGGGAGTCCAAATTATCATGACGTTTAGAGCAAGCCCTACTCTCTAAAACTGACCACAAATCATAATCCAGCGGATTAAGATCGGGACTAGACGACGGCCAGTCTTCTGCTCTGATGAAGTCGGAAACGTTCGTTGCCAACCAAGACTGCGTGGACCGAGCTTTATGACCCGGCGCCGAGTCTTGCTGGAAGGACCATTGTTGGTTATTGAACATGGTGTTGTTAAGGGGCTTAACTACCTTCTCAAGAATGGTATTTTGATAGACTTGTGCCGATGTTTTGATACCTTTTTCGCAAAAATATGGCTCAGTCACTCCTTCATAGCTAACACCCCACCAAACCATCACTGAAGTTGGATAATGCCCACGTTACACTCTGTCGACTAATTGAGAAGCTTCCTTAGAGCTTTGACCATAAATACGGTCATTTTGTTTGTTAAAATGTTGCTCAATTGTAAAAATTTTCTCATCCGTAAACAAATTTTTTCTGTGACCTCCCTTTGCGTACCGCTTCAGTAGTTGTTTAGATTTTATCACCCTATTTTTTAAATTATCATTTAAAAAATGTCCAGTGCGTTTCTTATAGGCTGCAAGTCCTAAGTCGTCTTTTAAAAATACGCGACATGGTTCTAGGTGCTATCTTCATCTCTCGAGATAAAATCTGTTGCTTTCGGACAGGATTTCTTCGAATTCTTTCCTTTACTGCATTGACCACCTTTTTCGTACGAACACTACGTGGACGGCAAGATCTTTTGTGTAATGCAATCACAGCGATTCGGGTCTCTTTATCACCCCACTCTATTTTAATATCGCAAAATATTGAACAATTTATTGGCGCCAAAATAAGAAAACACAATGAGAAATTATATAAAAATGACAGATTCCAAATTCAAATGTAATATTTTGTTTATTTTTAATTGTGACAGTATTTATGGCCAGACTATGTACACAGGCTATCAATAATATTATGACAATACATTTCGCACGTTTTGAAAAAGTTTTTCTTATACTTTATTCACATAATTAATCAATACTTGTCTACTACTCGTAGAAGGCTATACGCAATCTTATGCTAATGTAAATAAAAGTCAATATAATATAGAATCACTTCAAAGCAGTTGAGTAGGTAATAAATTATACAAAACACCAATCTAGTAGACACAGTATAAAGAGAAGGAAAGTAGGTTATCTTCATAAAAACGCACCCGCGCGGCTTGTATGTGTGCGCCATAGTATCTACGCGTCAACGCACACACACTGTAACAAAATCTCGACTCGTTTCTCAGTGCGCCAGTCGGGGCTAACACTGCACGAGGTTCGCGCGTTACTGTTTTTTCGGCACCGCTAAATCAAAACAAAATGTCTGATAATCACAGGAGAACGTATTGCTGTGTGTTTGGGTGTCTTAACAATATGTGTAAAAATACTACATTATGCCTAAAAAATAATACAATGAGAAAATAATATTAACACTAGCTCTTAGTCTATGTTACCGCCTGTGCCATCTAGCGACATAAAGAGTCACACCTCACAAACCCTGTACCTACCCAGACAATACAAGTAAAAAATACCACTTCCCGACCCTTGCCAATTTATAGGAGCTGACTAAAAATTTTGGTAAAAGTGACAACCCTAAGGCCGAAGATAGCCTACTGCCCTTCTCTTTATTCTATGTAGTAGATTCATGCCAGATTCTATTGAAGACAAAAATGTAATCTAGCCAGCTGTTCAAAACCGGGGTGAAGTCAATCTCATAATAAACATAATTATAAACACATTATAAATTGATAAGTTTCGCGCATTCAATGACATTTTACGTTCTGGCACAAAAGGAAGCATAAGAGCAGATTGAGTACAGCTACGCATGCTTTGTAATTATATAGCAATGGTAAGACATTAAGATACTTAGTCATACTTGACTTCGTGTTCTGAACAGAAGCAGCAGCAGTGATACAAATTTAATTCGATTGTTAGATATCAACAAACAAGCTCCAAATCGTCTTTTGTTTCTTTAAATTCTGTGTTCTAAATTCAAAAAAAGACTATTGAATCAAATTGTGAATGTGCCAGATTCAAAACTGGATAAAAACTATTTGAGCTAATATAAAATTTTAGCAAGGACCAAACGATACTGAATATACAAGGTGGACCATTAGATGTGTCCAGTGTATAAACTTTTATTAAAATTATATACTAACCGGTTTGTATTCTTCGTGCACAATATTATTTTATTTAGTTCTTCAACGTTTTGCCTGTGGCTTTCAACGTTTTTCTTGGGTAACTCCTCACGGAGATAGAGCCTCCCTGGTGGAAGACAAGAGCGTCAGAAAATTAATATCTAATAAAGCCTACATGAACATCTTAAATATTAATATAAAATAGCTTTTGATATTAATTAAAAGATATTCATGCCAAATTCAAATGATTCAATTGAAAATCATTGCTCAAAACCGTGGTAATTACGAGTATATAGCAATGGTAAGACATTCGTGTTCTGAAAAGCTGCAGCAGCTAAGTGATACAAATTTATACCTGATTTCTGTACTTTCACACATTTCGCACTTCTTTGCGCGAGACTGACCAGTGCTAGAGCAGTGGAACCTCCGTAGAGCTGCTGACTGGAGACAAAATCAACAAATACTTAGAATCGCTAGGCTTGCCAATACACAGTCTTGTCATTTAATCATTATAGTCAGATATTATACCATTCAACATGGATTTGATTCTGCAAGCATGGTTCTCCTAATATTCTTTAATATTTAGGTACCTACCTAATAATTACTTATACTCCTAATTTCGCAGTAGATACATTTTGTACGTTTATAATAAACAAAAAAGAATCATTTAAAAACTACTTCCAAAACTTGTCAAATACCGTATTTTTATGCAAAAGTACCTCCTTAGGTATCAAAAATCACAATGTTCACAATGGTTGCTGTCGAAGTTTGGCATTCCCCATTTTTCTAAATAATGCACCTGGTGGTTGAGAACAACAACATTCGATGCATGCATATTGGCTTAAAAGCGTCGCACAGCCGGCAATCTTTGTCCTCGTCTGACAACGATTGCCGGCTATGATTTTTGATTAGGTATTATGTATATAAGAAAATTAGGTTTTTTTATGTGCCTAAGGACTCCGCCCACTGGCCAAAATTTTTAAAATATCTCTTCTCATCTACATATAACATTAAAATAAAATTAATTAAGTAGAATAGATAAGTAAAACAGTAGTAGTAGTGGTAACGGCTTAATTGGCGGTGGTGATATTACATCAATTAGTTGACTGAAATAAGAGTTCTTACCTGCTTGTGGAGTTTTCTCATCTGGTTGTGGAGCGGTGCACTCTTTGTAATGTTCCTAATGCGTGTGGAAGCAAATAGCATGATCTAAAAAAACATTCTTTTTGCTGGCCCGTATAACAGTTTTTGGAAGTTCCGGCAAAATGTATATGTATACGCCAGCCAGGTAATGAAAATAAATTTAATAACGAGCAAATATATAGACTGCTCCTTTCTTACAAGTGCCTCGCAACATTGTAAATTTTAATTCATTAATTATTCTGTTTCTGGTCTCTGATTATCCATTATCCACATCCCTATTTTTCTTTCTCTTGAATATTGGTAAGCATTGTAAAATTTGTCAGTTAAGTTGGTGACGACTTTTCTAACAATCGGTTCTTAATATTTTGAGTTTAAATATTTTTTCTTATGTTTTTAATTTGGTAAGACTTAATTCTAAAATTGAACGAGGCCTCGTCATATCGAGATATCTTGCTGAAATTCTGTAATCAAAACAATTAATATATAAATAATATACCAACATACTACAAAATGTATTTTCAGAATACAGAAATTAAGTAAGTAGTATCTACGAAACAGTATGTTCACCTAGAAGTTAATGCTATCAATAATTAATGATAAACTAGAAAACATTAATCCTCTACATTAAAGTTAAACTAGAAAAAGAACAATACCTAAATAATAAATGGCAAGGAGCTTCACGGACACTTCTTTCAATCCCACGCTCTTCACTGCCATGGTATTGACTTTGGCGTCGATTTAGTAATCTTTATAAATAACTACCGGACATATGATATGAAAATGGGACGGTTGACATATGTCGGGCATGTCATAGTCCCGATGCATCCATCAGACATATGCTGTTGAGATCAACAGCATAGGTAACTGTGAAGTTATATATACTTGCGTTCTACCATTACCAAGTTTAAAAGGAATTGTGAGGCAAAATCAATGATTGCATTATATAGCAAACCCCAGAGACTAGGCACGTGTTTGATGAATAGAAGTTACTTGTTTTCTTTATAATGTCAAGCAGACAAGGTACGTACCTACCTCTATCAGAGGAGACCGTTACGAGTCGCGCGTAGAAAGAAACTGCGCTCCAATGGCTTCAACATTTGCCCGCGCATTATCTCTGAGCTTACATCGTCAAACACTACGGAACCGCTTGACAATTGCGTTTTTGTCACAAGCCACTTTCTTTCCCTACACGAGAATGGTAAACATCTATTAATAAATACTATTTAATATGTACATCATTATAATAAAACTAAGTTTGTAAGTATAAATCTTACTTTTCCTGTTTTAATTAAGTATTCTACATCATCTCCCAAAACTAGGTCCCCTTTAGTAATGAAATCAAAGTTTCCTTTATGGAACCAACCAGTCTGTGATATTTGCCAGGTTGCGCGGGATTTTGAAGGCGGGAATGACACGCTCCGAATGTACCTCTGTAATGTTATAACTGTTATTCGACACATAAACAAATATCAAATGCAAATTAGCCTTTAGATTCGAAAGTTACCGCTGATTTGTTGCTTTCTGCAAACTGATAGCGTCACCAGTAAGCAAAGCACTACCCTCAACGTCGTCTTTAGAAGGAAAAAAACGATTCACGACCATTTTCATGCGAATGTTTTTTAGTACTGTCACCCTTTTCCTTCATTTCTCGGCCAGCGCGGGTTCCTCTTAACACCTTGAATGAAATAAAAATACGAACATATATTTCATTGCCGCAATATAAACACATAAGTAGGGGTAGATAAAGGTACATTATATACCACAGATGCAATCTTGGTCACCGTTGAAACTATTGGCTTTCCAGTGCGACGGTCATACTGCAACTCGAACTCAACAGGGTCTCCTATCTTCAGATTTTCAGTATTACCGCTAAATTGGCTAAAGTTAAAGAACAGCCGAGCCTGTCTCTCACAGCACTGAATAAATCCGCAGGAGTGCAAAAGTTTTTCAATAATGCCGGTCTCTCGAATAGGTGGGGTGATTCACGCAGTATTGTTGCAACGAAGAATGTTTATCAAATCCAGAGGAATAAATCAAATCGTCGTTTGGACCATTTTTGTAACCCAGAGAGAAGCGATTGGCACCTCGGGTCTTTGATTGGCCACTGTCATCATCCATAGTTGAATCCATGTTGGGTACTCACCTTTTTAAGGCAAAAGAAATTTTGGTCGAAAATGTATTATTTGTTTTATATCTAATTAGTTATCAGATTGTTTGACGTGTGTAACAACATTAGACCTGTGTTAAGTAGATTATTAATAATATCTTCACAAATCCATTGTGAATAAATAACGTTTCTTCTAAACGGCGAATAATCAGAGATAAGAAAATCATGTGATTTGACATCAAATCGAACTATAAAATACTTATTTAGTATTCTAGAGCTTTCAAAAAATGAAAGCAGGTTGAAAACGGGCAGGTATCTAAGTACTTTCAAGAACCTATTCAATTCCATCACACTTGAAGAACTACGCCAGAAGCGTGGTGGTTCTGGTCTTCAAAAGGGGTGATAACCTGGCGACTAAGCTTTGTATAGAACATATTTTTGAGGGTCATCACGAAGCGTCTCGAACGAAGGCTAGAGGTCTTCCAGCCTCCAGAACAAACCACATTATACAAAAGACAGAGGGGCTATAAGCAGTCATTGTGTCTAGCGTGTTCTGTTAATTCTTGTGGAATATGAGAATTCCTTCGATTCAATCGAATTTGGGCGGCCTACTCTGCCATGCCACGTCGACTATAAAGACATCGACGTGCTAAAGTATTTGAATAGGCCATACGCATTTCGTAGCCTGGGTGTCTGGTGAAATCGACAATCATATAGCTCACAGTTTTTATGAGTAAATAGACACTCTTTTTAAAAATATAACGCAATAATGCCTTTACTGATTTGGCTAATTTTGGTCTTGAATTATTTGTGGAAGTCCAGAGGAGGTTTGTACGTAGGTTTGAAAACTTAAAAAAACCTAAATAAGTGCAAAATCAACAAGTATTAAATTTAATTATCTCATGATAAGAACGTGTAACTGTATTCCTCAATGAAACCTTCAATTATTAATGTTCACTGCTTTATTTGTATTTATATTCGAAATAGACCTAGCCAAAGCTGATACCAATTATAAAGATACTAGTATTAATATAGATATAGTAGATAGGTACTTAATAACGGTGTAAGTATGGGCTGTTGGGGCATCTTACCACTACTATCTTCTAAGCACTATTATCTTGGCTGGATTTTTTATGTAAGTATATCACACGCCATAAAGTTATATTTTACTGCACTATGTTTTATTTTAGTTTCACTTATTTCATAATTATGTGCAATACTTACCCTCCAATTGATTTGTCATTTACTTAAATTATTTTGACTGCCCTATTGAACTGGCTGCCGTGCAACACGTGGCGGGTTCGTGTTCCAGCACGGAACAACCATCGTTTCAGTGATCCACAATTTGTTGTTCAGGGTCAAGATGTGGAGCTGATTTATAAAATTGTGAAATTGTACGTAGATAACGCACCCACGACAAAGAAAAGAAAATTTTAGTGTTAAATAATTATTAAAAGACGTTGCCCACCTTTTTAATAACGGATCTACGGATGAAGGTAGATTAAAATAACTTTTTGGATAATCTACCTACACGTGTTTTACTTATTGTTCCAAATGCGTCGAATTAGTAAAAATAGCGGTGGATCATAGCTACATTTTAATACATTTAGGTACGCAGCGAGTATCCGAAAGAACAACGAATAAGACTGGTAAAAATTTCAAATGCCGCCGATTCCAACGATGCCGCCATAAGACAAGACAATTCATAAATCAACATCCTTTGGTGCAAATATTATATCGTATTCGTATACATGAAACATAATAGTTAGGACTTAATGACGATGATCATTTAAAAGGAAACAAACTGGAATAAAAAACTCACCATGACTCGGCTGTGCATTGACGACGTCCCGCCATAAGGAACGTCAGCCAAAGAAAGAGCTATTCTTAAAAGTTCAGGCGAAATATCAGCATTAACCATAGATTATACATACACTGATTTATTCGCGTATTTATCGTCTCAATATCAGGTACAAGTAACACTGTTACAGGTACTACACAGATATTTTGGATTTGCTGTTGTAGTTGTTGTTCTTGCGGGTAAATATCAACTCAGACAGTCACAATAACAGGGTTTGATAATAGGAAGAACAGGATTATGTTATGGAAATGGTTATTTTTAAAACGACAACAACGAAGAGAGTGGATTCTGATAATTCGTTTTTTATTTGAGAGCTTATACTTACTTTTAAGTTTTTCCCACTGTTACCAAGTCTGATCATGATCTGTTTTCCAGGTAAATCCTGGAAAACTACGGAGATTTGTGGGAGTGACTTGTTTTTTAGCACCTAATATTATCCTATGTTTGTTGGTTAAGTAATTAAGTATTTTAAAGTAAGGCACGATCAATAAGCGATATCTAATTTATGTCAACACTAGATTTTGCACGTGGATTCGCCTGCGTGCTATGTCGATAAAAAGTAGCCTATATGTTAATCCAGAGTATCATCTAGCTACGTACCGAATTTCAACCAACACGCAACAAACACACAAACAACACGCAAAATGACAACCAACCACCACCAACCATCCATCCATTCTCCCAAACTTTCATATCCTACTAATATTATAAATTAGCTTCCGACCGCAGCTTCACCAGTTGCCAAGAGCAAAAAAAAAAACTCCAAGTAAAATAAAATTAAATAGTTAAAAATCCTATTACTAAGTTTATTTTATTTTCTGTACGTAATTAGATCTTATTTTAACAAATAACGGGAAGTCGCGGGCGGAAGATAGTTTATAGGTAATACTTATTAACATAACATTCTGGGCTTGAGTTATTCGTCAATTAATGAGAGCCTTATCCACCATTATTCGACTATATTTGTTCGAAACTTCGATTTTACCAAATCCCCCAATGTAGAAGGATAATTTTCCTCTGTTGTCGTTTACTGCTTTTACTGTAGTAGTGGCAATAAAATCTTCGTCTCTTTAAATTTCATACACAATCCAACTT